GATATAGTAATACCGAGAAAGCAAGACCACCGGAATAAGTTAAAAAAAAGAGCTAATGTATATGTAAATGACTTTTGAACGAATTAATGATGCTACGAAAGTAAAAGAATCAGAATAAGTTAAAGGAATACAAAAGAGATGGTCAAAAAGTTTTAATGAAAAAAAATAGATATAATCATTGTTCAAGTGAAGGAGACATATTCATAGTAATTTTTAGACAAATTACATTAAACTCAACATGTCAAAAGTAATTATGATCATTATCGCCACATAAAAAAGTTAGAGCTGAAATATATCAAGTAAACATATGTATGTACCAAATGAAAAACTCAAAACCATAAATAATGAAAAACAAAACCGAAGTTCTTTCAATGTAACAATTATGTCACAAACACAAAAGCATTAGAATAAGTAAAATAAAACTAATATATATCTAAATAACTCTTGAATGAAACAATAATCGAAAGTATCCAAAATCATTTGAATAAATGGAAACAAAAAAAGAGAGATGGCTAAAAAAATTTAGCCAAAATGGATAAACAAACCTAAATGTAGTTGAGGAAAACGTATCCACAACAATTTTTAAAGAGATTAGATAGAACTCAGTATATCAAAATAAATTATCATGACCATCGCCATATAAAAAATTAATTCAAGCTAAAATATGTCAAATAAGCATATCTATATATATCGCAGAGAAATAAATAAAGACAAAGTCAATATCTCAGTAGTATTTAATAATGAAAATCAAAGAAGATAAGACATAAATTTCTAACATTTTATTAACAACAGAACAACATAAGACAATTTATGTGAGCGCTATATATAAGCAACATCCATTAATAATGTGACAGAATCAAATATAAACAAAAGAGAATAAAAACGCAAACATCATAGATTAATATTACTACAGTAAACCAATACATTCAATATCGCCCACAAACATTAAAAAGATGTAGGCAAAGGTTATTAAATGATAAAGCAGTAAATGATCCAAAGTGAAATAGAGCAATAAATGATCGAACGTAAACAGACATATATGAAACAGATTCATACTCAACAGCGTTTATTTATAAATAAACAGGAAGAAAATAATCTAAAGCAGTTTATAACTTATAAGAACATCACATGTAGCTGCACTAAGTCGGTCTAGAGAAACCTAAACCTTAAATAAATCATAAAAGCAATACCCTATTACAGCAAGATAGAGGAAAAAAAGGAATAGAGTTATTTAGGAAGAGTTCAAAGACAGAGTTGAAAGCTAAGCTCAAAGTCAACTTCTCAAGAAAATTTACAACCTTCGGTTTAAAACTCTTTTAGTATAGCATGAATGAAAATAGAGGAAAAACATAAAAATACCTCTATGCCAAGTCGCTCCTTGACAAAAGTGGCAACTTGAGCGTAGTCCAGATTCAAAGCAACCAAGTTGTTCTTCCACGCTTTCCAAACAACATGTCGGGTTTAACAACTTTGGAAGACGAAAGCCAAGGCTCATTGTTTGCTAACTCATTGAGATCGGTTGATTCGGTAATCTATGGCATAACAAAAAAAATCACAATTTAATCAGCAAAGCTAGACACAAACACCAATCCGGAAAATTCTTTTCTAAAAAGAAAGAGAAAACAAGAACTCTTTAACAGTTGACGAAATCAAAATTCTAAATTCTAATTCTGAATATGATGAACTATACCTTCCTAATCCTAAATATATAAGATAAATTAAGTTCACAATGAAGAAATACACAAACAGAACCAAATTAATCAAATCCTGACAAATGAAGTGAGATCAAGTCACCATGAAAGTCATCATTACAAAAATGCAATGAAAAAAGCTAAAAGAGGCTTAACATTCGAGATCTATAAGCTAAACAGGAACAAAATCTAAAAAAAAAAAAAAGATAAAAAAAGTCAAATACTAACCTGAGCGGATTTGATTGGCAATTCACGGCCAGAGAGCCTCTTGAAATGCTCATTCAACAATCTCTTTGAATCATACTCTCTGATCTTCTTGCATGCCATTTCACCACCTGAAAATTTTTCACCAAACCAAAAAATTTTGTTTCAAATCCAAACCAAACCAGTCAAAGCAATCTCATTCCGCGAAAAAATTCGAACATAAACTAACCAAACTCGATCCACAAAAGCACAAAGCCATGAAAATACCAAGAACGAAAACCAAAATGAAGATCTAAAACAGCAAAAATCACAGTTTGAGAAGTGCAAATCACTGTTTAGAGAGAGAATCTGAAAAGCTCTGAGTTGGGAAGATAATTTTTGAGCAAAAACACTAACAAAATTTTTCTTACCACACCGGCATTGTTGTAGGTGGAGACGGAGAATTTCCGATCGGACGTGGTAATCTTTCGTGAGAATATTTAAATCCAAACAAAAAAAATCGAATCATGGGGACATAGAACTGGAATACGACCTGAAAGCTCCGATAAATCGTGTGGAAGAGACATTACCCTTGGCTTATAGAAAACAATAGATTGATATAAGCAAAAAAAAAAAAAAGAAACGAAAAAAAAAGTCCAGTTATAATCTAAATCTCTAGCTTGATCATCAATAGCCTCAATTGATCATCCTTCTCATCAATTACCGATCATCAACCAGCAAAAAATAAAAATAAAAAACTTTCACGTTGAGAATCTAAAAGCCATAAACTTTTCCATGCTCACTTGCTTTTTTGTTTCTCGGCAACCAAACAACAAATAAAATATTTTGCCCCAAATAAATTTCCAGAAAACAAAATCAAATTGGTGACTCCAAAGAATTGTAAAAATCAAGAATACCATTGAAAGTCATACCATACTTCAGAAGATGAAGAGATACTTACTTGAGTGGGTAACGAAAAGAATGAGGAGCAAACCAAAAGACCAAACCTTGAGTTGATGCTGAGATGATTCTCTCTCCTGAATCTAACGAAGAAGAAGAAGAAGAAAAAGAAGAAAGATCAGAAATGAAATTTTGACAAAATTGTTAGATTTTGATGACTCAGCAGCGACGAAACGAAGCAGCCAAGGAGAAAAAAGCAACCCACATAAAAATATTGAGTCAAACCAACAAAGCCAAAATCGCAAATGACCGACGGAAAAAATAACGCTAAGTAAGAATAGATGTCACGGAACATGAAAACCAAACGTAAACAAAACCAATAATCAAAAGACAGTAAAAAATAACATATATATTACAAAGAATTACAAGAGAAGAAGAACAATAAAAACCATGTCCAAAACAAACCAATGAACATCTTGAACAAATATCGGAATAGAGAAAAAATAATTCAATGTTTACCTCAACAAAAAGGAGTCTTAAAACATTAGACCATCAAAGAAAGGAACAAAAATAGAGACATTTAATTATTTCATGCCTCGTCATCATACAAACCTGCAAAGCAAAAACAAAATAAATAACAGAGAGATGTGCAATAGTAAATCTACAATTAATTGCAAAAGTTCCTAAAAAAAATGTTAGTCAGAGAAGGAAATCTCAAATAAATTCAAAGCAATCATAAAAACCAAAGTAAAAAAAATAAGGCCGAAAGAAGAACAAAAAAAAATACGGGAATTTTTTGTTTACCAAAATAAAGCATGAAAATGAAATAAAAAAATAAATGATATAATGAGAAAAGAAAAAATGTCTTAGATTAAGGCAACTACAGTATTAGTGTATACACACATATATATAGATATATGTATATTATATGTTTAACAAAAGCTTTTTTGTAGGATTCTATATTGTTTGTTGTCCTTTTTTCTATGCTTCTTCAGAGCTGCAAAATAAAAAAAATTTAAAAAAAAAGATTATTGCTGATTTTTTAGAAGATATAAATAATTTTAGTTATATAAAGTGTTAATTTAGTATTTAGAAATAGTGATATTATCTGGTTATTGTTCTTTTTCTAGATTGCTCTGGTGGTCTTAATTCAGAGTTGGAATCATAATAAAAGATTAGGATGTGTATTATAAATATTCAAGTACAATACTTATTAATAATTAATGTTAATTTGTAAATATGTAGCCAAAAAAAATGGATATAGTTCCATTCAAAACTATATATAACGACAGAATTGAGAAGCACAAACCATATCCAAGTGAATTTGAGAAGGAATTAAATAGCTACAAATTAATATAATAACATATCAAAACCAATGTCAAGAAAAGCAACGAAAACAATAATAGCATTAGAATAAGATGAAAGGAGAACTAAAATAATATATCCGAATCATCCTAATGAAGAATCATAGACAATATCACAATCAAAGTAAGCAAAATATGAGCACAATAATTTTGAAAACAATTATACATCATCAAACAGATGAAAATCAATTATAATCATTATTGGTATGAAACAGAATGAATTAAACATAAGATATAATAAATACAAATCGAGACGGAATTTTAAAAATAGTTAAAAAAAATATTGTCAAGCAACTAAATAAACAGGGATATATAAAACATGCATTGAAGTAAAGAAAAGATGGAATTTTTATTTTTTTTAAATTAGGACAGACTCAATAAAAAAAAAGGGCCAACAAATTATTATTTAAGTAGTTTTAATAAGAAGTGGAGAGTGCCTCAATCGAAATAAAAAATGTTCTTGACAGTAATTTTTAAACGAATTTTACAACACTTTGCAGCCACAAAACAACTTTATTCATCATGACATCGTATAAAAATAAGATAAAGATGAAATATCTTAAGTAGACACACAAATATGAACAAATGTCATTATAAAACAATTAAAACCATTAGTAAATAGTGATAGAGCATGCACAAAAACAATCATAATAATAAAGATAGATCCTAAAGAATGTTAAGAATAGTGTCCTAAAAGCATAAGATGTAATAAGATATTTATTATTTAATTAATAAAAGAGTTTATTCATCATTTTATGTGTATATATTTATGAATATTTTATAAATATCAAATGAAAATTCCGTGATTATTTATGTAACCTTAAACATTATATATAAGTGTTATATACGAGAGGATAATGTTTAAGAATAATAATCAAGAACGTTGTTCATAATGAATTTAATTAAAACTCAGAATTTTTAATTAAAACATTATTAATACATGTCATTCCCATTTAGAATGAAACGGTGCTATCCGCACTGTTAATATGGTGAGATATTGAATGAGTGTATTTCGCATAATGAGATTATGTGAAACATGGACA